TGAAAAACTAGTATTTAATATTATTTAATAACACTACATAAATTAGAAGGATATAGCATGATGACATAGCATTTATGGAATTTGATCGCAATTCCAATTATGTTCTTGTCAAGTCTGACCTAGTTGAAAAAAATTCAGTTTTAATTTTTATTTTAATTGTGTTGTATTCAAAAAATTAGAAGAAAATCTACAATATTTAAATTAAAAGTATTTTTTAATTATTTTATAACCTTAATTTGAAAAGTATTTTTTTAACCAAACACATTAAACTACTTTTTGTTCAATCTCAATTTCAACCACAGTTTTAACCAAACATATATTTTTTCAAACCAACCTCAAAGTACTTTTTATAAAATAATTTTTTTAAAACCACAACAGCAACCGCAATACTAAACACAGCCGTGGATAAGAGCATTTATTAACTTTGTAAACCATGTGATTAAACTTGTTTACAATTTTTTGACATGTTACAAATATAAATTATGATACAGAAACCTTGGGAAGCCGCCTTTTTATCTGACTATGGCAGAAATAGCTGCATCAGTTTCTGGTATGAATTGAAGTCATTAACAAAGAAACGTGATAATTATTTATGCTATATGATATTTTTTGAATGCTTTCGAAAAATTCTGCTTCTTTAGGAAATTTAATGAATGCAATTCATAATGTAAGAGACTGCAGATGCTGAGTTTTAAACTATTGTCATGTCTGGAATTGCGCTTTCTTGAGTAATAATTAAGTAGTGTTGGAATGCAGTTATTTGGGTTCCTTGATGTAGAGAAGAATGGATCGATTACATTCAAGCAGGTAAAGTTTCCCTCGTTCGTTTTTATCTTTGCTGTGGATGCAGTTCACACCTTCTTGAGTTTATAGTTAAATTATAATTTGAATGCGTATTGCAACCAATTTGTGATCATAGAGACCTGAGCATCTGCAAGTTGTGTGCCCATGTCAATGAATGTTTTCTAACCTTTTCTGGTAGAAAGGAATCTATGACACGCAAATTCAGTCCTAAACTCTTTTTTTTCGTGAGCTTGGAGATATGCGAAGTCAATTCGTTTTCTTAAGACCATGATATTAAAGTGGCCAACAACTAACTTCTAATGGATCCTTAAATACTCTTAACCTCATCCACTAGGCTCACTGGAGTGTCACTACATTTTGGTGGTGCATTATGTTGGTCTCTTCAGAAAAGATGCAAAACAACAATAGCTAGTCTTTTCCCTGCTGTGAACTCAATGTGAAAAGGGTCCCGACAAACATAATCTCTGGCTGCTGTTTATCCCAATGTCACAAGGGTCCAAATATATTTTTTATTATTTTTGCTGGAGTTATTTCTTGTTGATCCAAGAGCGATGTTGGTGCAATCCAAATGTTCGATCCTCTCCTTCCTTTTGTTTCTTTCTTGGTATTATTTCTAGAAATAATAGAGTGTTTGATTTAAGAGTAAAGTTGATGGATATTTAGCAGATAACTCACTGCTTTTATACAATCTATAAGAAAACGCCAAAATGGGCTATGGGAAGAACATATATGTGCTATACAAATGGAAAATAAATTTATTTTAGACTTCTACAGTGATTGGCAGGAATGGCTGCAATTATTGATATCACGGTGACTCTGTTTGCTAACAGATTTTGGCCCAAAGTGACTCTGTTTGCTAACATATTGTTTGTTGTTCACAGTTCTTGTATGGATCAGCCCATGTCATGAAGCGACCACTATTCCAGCAATCCTGTGAACTAGCTTTTGCTCAATGCGACACTAGAGGACATAATAAAATTTCAGAACAAGAAGTATATTGTTCTTCCCTTCACCTATTAATTTCCCCATTTTTTTTTTTATTCGGGAGAATCCTTGCTCACTTTCTTGGTTTCTGTTGTGTTTTGATTAGTTGAGAGATACCATTAGACATGCAATCCCAGACTTTGATGAGGATGAGGTAATTTACTGCACTGTCTAATTCATTGTTAATGGAGAGTTATTCATGACAAAACGTTTACTCCCTGTTTACTTGCAGATCCATGAGCTCTTCAGTATATTTGATATGGATGGTGATGGGAGTGTCAGCAAGGATAACTTTCTTTGTTGTCTAAGACAGAACCCTTTGCTGATAGCACTTTTTGAACCTTGTTTGGTGCACAAGGACTCGTCACAAGTTGGTCAGGGTATCCTGGAGGAGATCGTATGATGCATGTGTTTCAGGCTTCATGCTGGGTTGTCTCATGTCGTGTATAACCCGTACCCCTTGATGGCTTGGTTTTGTTCTGAGGAGAATTTCAGGGTTAGTAGGGGTGAGAGGGCGGGGGCTATTTTTAACCTTGCCACTCTACGCTTTGGCTCATGAGAATTTTGAGTAGCCATAAGGGTTCCTCCGTCGTATTTTGTAGTAAAACTTAGATGTGTGTAAGATGGTAGATGTTATTTTTTGAAGTATTTTTTGTTTAAAAAATATTAAAATAATATTTTTTATATTTTTTTAAATTTATTTTGGATATTTATAAAAGCATGCCAAGTAGAATCTAAATGATGACGCGAACTTCCAAATGGAAATCTTTGCAAGAATGACAGTACTCTATTACTATTAGTTAACTTAAATATTCAAAACTAAAATAGTTTTTAAATTTAACCATGCCTGTTTATCTTAAGAGAGTAGCAATCTGTGACTAGTTAAATTATATTATTTCTTTAAGTTAATTTTGACTTGTGTTATTCTTTTTCTAGGGTGCTACTTTGCCATAAAAAAACAAAACTCCAAAGAAAATAATAACGTTTAAGTTGTCTATTTTACCTGGATTTGTTCGTATAACTGAAGATACGAATCACAAGCGATGGTGACATGCTAGAGCTTTGAGTTATAGCTGTGTTCTAATGATGAAGATGTATGAAAACGATCTCCCTTCTGCTGTCTGGAGCTGGGCTTCCTCTCCCTGTAAGAACAAGCGACATCTTATCTGGGTTGTTGTTAGTGGCCACTTCATCGACCCATTAGTGGGTGGATCTTAGGCATGAAAAGGATTTTTTTTTTTAAAAAAAAAAAAGGGGCATCATCACGTGAAAAGCAAGGACCTTGCCACCCATTATAGAGTGTGGGGCACTCTTGCATCTAAGAATGTATGATCCTGAGGTTGTTCTGGTGATGGGCATTGGCCATTACCTACAGCTTCGACAAGCCCTTTTAGCTGCCTGTTATTTTCATTCACGTGATTCTGTTGGCCTCTTCTTCTTGACACGGATGAGCCATTGCCCCCCTCCCCCTCCGCTATCCGGTGACGAGGATTTGCCATTATTATTTTTTTTATTTAATGTGATTGTTCGGATCAATTTGTATTTATTTTAATTAATTTTTTAAATTTTAAAGCTAACAATTATATAAATTTTCAGTAGTTATAAAAGGATCCAAACTTATGATTATTAAGAGCAAACTTAATGCCCGATACCTACCTTAATTAATTTTTCAGATCTTAAAGTTAACAAATATATAAACTTTCAGTAGTCATTAGAGGATTCAAACTTGTGATTATTATGAGCAAACTCAATATCTGATTAGTTGAACTACTCCTAAAACACAACTTTTTGATTGACCGCGATATTGACCAGTAAATAAAGATATCGTGAGGGTATTTTATGAATGATTAGATGCGATGTAATTTTTTGTTTCGCATGCCAGATCAATATAAGAAAAAATATTGGTTCAATCGAAAATTTGTAAACAAATTAGGACAAAATAGATCATGTACAATCAACCATCTGGGTTGCTAGAAGTTTGGACCATGTCCAGATAGCCAGAAAATTACCTCCTTTTTAATTCCACCAACATACATATATATTTATAAGAATAAATTAGACAATTAGCAAAATAAATATAGAAAATTTATGGAATAATATTGTTTAAAAAAAATTAGTGATATAGCACACTTTCACCTTGTCATGCTTCATAAGCGCAACAAAGTGAAAGTGTGCTATCATGTAACTCAGCCGATTCGTAATGGTCAGTGAAACAAATCAACTAATTTTAAGAACAAAAAAAAATTTCAAAACTATCAAAACTAGGATACCTCAATAAGGTTTTTGATATCTAAAGATTCAATAGCCTGCATAGAGGTGCAATTGTTGTTATAGAAAATAAATCTATGAAAATTCTTATAAAAATTTGAGCGTGATTTAACAGTCAAGTCAAACATAATGGCCTTCTTGATTTGTTATTCTAAGATGACGTTACTTGATCTCTTCTTGAGCCTAGACTTGTCCTACTAATCCATAAATGCATATGTTAGGCCATCCATTTAATTTGTTTGGGGTAGATTATTATTTAGTTATGGCAGATTTACACTTGACTTCTTAAAATCACTCGCTATCACAATTCCTATTACATCATTGATATTGAGAAACAAAGAACAATTATTGTATGTATATTAGCGAGCCAGTCTGTTAAGCTAAATGATTGAACTTTCAACTTGTCGTGTTTTTAAAACGTAACATTTACTAAATGTTGTTATTTTAAAATGTGACAATTATTTTTTTACTCTTAAAAATATTAACATTTTAACAAATATCACACTTCTAAAATGCTATAAAATAAAAATATGTTATTTTATATAAAAAAAAATTAAAGGTATTATTCTATTAATCTTGTATATTTACTATGCTAATTTAACAAATAAATAAACACTATATATTACCCTTAAAGCTTCATCTATCTCGAGGCGTTGTTATTCCGCAACATCATGATTTTCGGGCAAGACCGGATAATTTACATTCAAGACAATGTTGTCTTGAATTAAAAAAAAAAATCGAAAAAGAAAATTCTTAAAAGGCCTGTGTTTTTTTAAACTTTAAATAATATTACTATATAAAAATTGGCACGAGAATATCTTAAACACGAAGAAGAAGAAGATGGAGGAGGAGGAGGAGGACGGAGGAGCAGCGTGGATGGTGGATATACATGCAGTGATCATGATGTATGTTTGTATTTCCCTCCGTACATGGGATAGTTGATGAACTCCCTCTGACCAGAAACATCACATTTCAGGTAGGTGCACCATAAAGACGATAATACTTGCAGTAGAGGAATTCATTCAAGCAGTCCATAAAATCAAACGTACCTTTTCATAATTAACTTTTATATACTCCTAGGCTACTAGGTGTTTTAGGCAGGCATCTGTTAAATCGATTTTGATGGGCAAAACTTAGGTAGGTACGTATCTGACCCCGTCAGAGAATGTGAAAAACTAAAAAATTTATATAAATAAATAAGATATATCTATTAATTATATTTTATAAAATAAAAATTCACCTCGTTTAACAAAAAGCTTCAAATATAAAATAAAAATTTCTCAAGATTTCCACTTATCAAACATAAATAAAAAAATATATATAATTGAAGAAATTAACGATTCGAATTTAAAACATTTTTAATGGATCCGTACAGTGGATGCTAGAATAGACACCATGCTAGTATGCAAGGAAGGATAGGATTTATACAGACATTTTGGAAAAAAGAAAAAGAAAATTTCATCTAATATTGGAAACTATGATACAAAATCAGCTCTTGAGTTGGTTCAAGAACTGTGAGGGGTCAATATTTTTTTTTATATATTTGATTCCACTGGGGGAACACTACCTCGAGTTATGTTAATTAAATATTCCTCTTACTCTAGCATCTATTGATGTATTTGTTTCTATGCAGCTAATCAATAATAATTTATTTTAAATATAAAAATAATATTTTTAATTTTAAAAATATTTTAAAAAAACTCGGATTTGATTGCAATGTCATATTCAAGGGATCTCACCTTCCAAACGTAAACATTATGGTTTTGGCTCCTCTAGTAATAATTAAAATAATATTATTAAATTTACTTAATCCAGGTTTTTATAATTTTTAATTATTTTAAATTAAATTTATGGTTTTTTAATAATAATAATTTTTAAATTTTATTAATAATAGTAGTAGTAGTAGTACTAATAGTGGTGATAATAGTAATATTAAGAATAATAATAATTTTAAATTTTATCTTTTAAATCAAATATATGGTTTTTCTTCTGTGGTGATAATATTTTTTTTTTAAATAACAACAACAGTTATTATTATTATCATTATGACAATTATCATTTCATTATTAATTTTACATTTCAAATTAAATTTAAGATTTTTCTTCAATAATAATAATTTTTTAAAAAAATTAATAATAATATAATGATGTTACCCTTTAAATCAATCAAATCTATGGTTTTTCTTCAATAATAGTGATTTTTTCATATCTATTAATAATAAGAAGAAGAATAATATTAACAATAATAATAACACCAACAACAATAATAATTTTTAATTTTACCTTTCAAATCAAACCTATAGTTTTTTCAATATAAATAATATTTTTTTTCAAGTTCAATAACAATAATAATAATTTTATCAAGAATAAGAATAACATTAATAACAATAACAATAATAATATTAATAATTTTCAAGTTTACCCTTCAAGAGACATGGGTATGGCAAATAAACCAGACTTAGGTATGGGAGAAACGTCAAACCCAAATAATTTTGATCTAAAATGTTTATAGATCTAACTTTCAACTATCATTACAATAACAATTTATATTATTTATAAATTGATCCTTAACAACATACAGGTTATTTATTAAGTGATTGCTATAACATGTTTGTTACTGCATCTTAAAAATATCCCTAAAAAAATATTTTTTTTACTTTAAATTGTTTTTTTATATATTTTTAAACTATTTTAATGTATTAATATTATAAATAAATTTAAAAAATAAAAAATTTAACTAGGATTAAATAAACATGTCTCATATTAGTATTAAATGTCTTACAACCATGTCATTTTTCGATAACATGTCTTAAAAAATTTAAATTAATTATTTTATCTCCAATTATTTTTTTAATACCAAATATATCCCATAAACAAAAACATCACCACCCCTAACTACATGCCTGACAAATTTATCTGGGAAAGATAATTATATTACTATGCTGTTTTTACCGTGAGTTATGTATTGGTAAACAGTGAAATACTGATCATATTATATAATTTTCGTCAATTTTTCTTTCATTGGACAACACGATTGGAGATCATTTCTCCTTGGTTATCCATGTGAGGCGAATTTAATTTCAAATTAATTGTTTTGACTTTAGCAACATTTAAAATTTATTGTCTCTAAATCTGCTGTATAGAAATAAAAAGGCAATATTTAAATTGACTACGACTTACCCAGGGTCATGACTGTTTCTAGGGAAGCCATGAAAGAATAAAGCAAAACACGGTTTGATAATACCTAGTTTCCATTTACACCCTCACCTTCAAACAATTATTTATTTATGTTTGAACAATTTTTTTTAAAATATTTGTGAGCTAGAAAAGGACAACTTTATCTGTACATTTTTTTTTT